TAGGCCCGAGACGTCAGCCTTCCTGCTCCTCTGATGCTGCTTGGCCTGCTGTGCTCATCCAGCTCTGCACCTTGTTATCTCAATAACTATCAGCAATTAACCTGACTGCTAGGATAATTCACAAAGCCCGCATTAATGTAACAAGTGCCAACTGTGCCATTAAACTGTGATCATTAAACAAGCAAAGTTTGAAGAAACACATCACCTTATCAACAGCATTTCACTGGGATCAAGTTTACCAGGAAAGAAGAGAACAACAATCAACTCCTGTTTCTAGATGTAATGGTGGAATGAACGAACAACAGTGAATTCCTTACCAGCATATACAGAAAGACTACACATCTGAATTACAACAGAAACCACCCCAGTGTCCACAAATAGAGCTGTGTCAAGACTCTGCTTAAACGAGCGATAACTCATGGCAACACCCCAGAGCTGTGCAAAAATGAAGAGGAACACCTATTCAGAGTCTTTGCAAACAATGGTTATCCTAACAGCTTCGTTCGCCGTTGCCTGGCAAACAAACAACACCAAGAAGACACTGTATGCCCCAACACACTGGCCGCCCTACCCTATGTTAGAAACGCATCAGAACTGACGACAAGACTCCTATGACCTTTTGGAATAAAGATAGCACACAAACCAACAGCCACACTTCGCCAGTTACTCTCAAAAACAAAAGACCCCATACCCACAATGAGCAGGACTGACATGATACATAAAATACCATGCAGCAACTGCAAGAAACACTACATAGATCATAGGAAACTCACCACCAGGATACATGAACACCAACTCTGAGCAGGACTAACTCTCATTTGTTTCAAAAAATAGAAGGACATCAATTTCGTTGGGACAAAGTTACAGTACTAGGACAAGCAAGACAAAGACAAGCACGAGAATTCCTGGAGGCCTGGTTTTCAACCACCGATGCAATTAACAAACAGTTGAAATAGACCCCATCTACATACCACTACATAATAAAATCGGAAACAAGACTGACCCCCATGACAGACCAGATCATATATATTCAGAGCGGGACAGAACGACAGCGTTTTAACAGAGGCAACACAGCAGTGACAATGTCACCTAGAAGGAAGACGAAACGTTTGCATGAAAACCAGTCAGCTCGGTGAACCAACCAACAACTCCAACCGCAACCCAAGCTAAGGACCTTCGTTAAAACATTAAACTGTGCCATATATATTAGCTTCAAAACACCAACCAGTTTTACTGTTTCGCAACTGTAAAAAGTACTTTGCGAGAACATTGCCCACACCCCTTTAAAATTAATTGGAAAGATGGTGAATATTAGAGAAGACATTTAATTTTCAGTTGCTTTGATATAGCTTGCTAACATTATGCTGGGTGATATATTTTAAATTAATGCATATCGCACTTTGTCATATAAGTAAACAAAATAACTGTTACTGAAGATTTAAAACATAATTGTCACCTCGGAGTTACCAACCGATCATAAACTACCATGCTAGCAACTTGTTGCTCTATTCACATCAATTGTTATCTTTACATATTCCGGAAATGAGCATTTTATAGCTGTACATTTCTCAGAATAATAAAATCATACTGCACAGTCAAGCCATCCTGCCTTTCTCTGGGCAAGCACATGTTTGCACCCAGGACGAAATATCAGCCAGATAAATAGGATCAAGTTAAGATTTTTCTGACTTTTGATTTTGATTTATTATTGTTACATACACCTAGATACAGCAAAAAATGTTCCTTTGCATCCTGTATAGGCAGATCATACCATACAAAGGTATGGTAGAACAGAACAGAACAGAGTGCAGTATACAGTGATACAGCCACAGAGAAGGTGCAGAGAGAGAGATGAACATTAACATGGAGGGGACCATTCAAAAGTCTGTTAACAGCAGGGAAGAAACCAGAATGTGTGCTGAATGACTGCCCTGATTCACTGACTACTAATATTATTATTCTTTTACAAAGACGTGCGATTGCTTTAAAAGACATTGTCTTCTCAATAAAGTGGTAAATGAAACAGAGTTCCACATAGAAATTCTCATGTATCACTGATCCAGAAAAAAGGATTAATACAAAATAACTGAACTTTCCGATATTTTAGAAGTTGTAAATGAGAAAATTTAAATTTTGGCAGTTATTGAATATGGTTGACAGAAGACTTAAAAACAAACGGCATATCATTTTAATTATCATTCCTACTTACAGCATTATTAACTGCCTTATCTCCACTCTCTTTTCCAGAAGACATGTCTTCTTTTCCTTTCTGAGCAACTGCAGCTGACTGCCTGTCTTTGATCAGTGATGGTTCTAATGCTGAGTGCAAATGGCAGTCTGCAGACCGCGATCTGGCAACTTTAGGCTTTCGAGGAGCATTGGGAGTTTCAGATTCTTCCTGGTTACCTTGAGCCTTCTCGGTCACTCTTTCATTTGAAACAGAAGACTGTGGTTTCATTAGTTCAGATATTTTGGGTTCTGGTTCATGGGATCCGCTGTTGGAATCGTTGTTCCAGTCCCACTGAAAAGATTGTGAAGCTTGAGGACTGTAGTATGGTACGCGTTTCTTTGAGATAAAATTTGGCTCCCTTGCATTCCCTAAAATACAAAAAGATATTTTTAAAAATCTTTATCATAATCAATTAAATTGTAAAATCAGATTTCAGATATTGCCTCAATGAACAAACTGAGGTTTATGCAGCACTTTCCATATCCACTGGACTCAAACTGTTTTAGTCATTGCTAAAAATATTTGAAAAAGTTAGAGCATAATTATCATTCTAACGTAGAAAACATGACAGTTTGTATGCTCTCAGCAAGCTCCCATAAATAGCAATATCATAATGACCATGTAACAGCTTTTCCAATGCTGATTCATGGATAAATATTGCCTCATATGAAAAATCGCACCTCTGAATGTGCAGTGCTCCATCAGCACTGAAGTGAAATGTCAACTTTAATTTTTGTTCTGGAATGTATTCAGAAGTGAGTGTGTTACCAACTGTACCATAGCTAATACACATTATTGTTATGTTTTAAGAACTATTTGAGAGATTTTAGGTTCATGTCCTGCTGCAAATATTTCCTGAATGTGAATCTGTTTTAGATCTCTTGTGGTGCAGTGTAAGTGTCCCAACCTCTGCACCAGGAGGCTCATATTCACGTTCCATCTGCTCGAGAGGTGTGTGAGAGTAACTCTGAATAGATTGATTAGAAAATTAAAAATATTAACTCCTTTTAGAAAAGAACTATTTGTGACCAAATTTGCTTTTAAAGTTTTACACTATATTACCAACCAGCACCACACCACCCCGAACACCACCAACCCATTTATTTTTGGAGAAATTCAGCAAAGTACCTTGGGATTTTTTCATGAGATATATTACAAGATTAAAATAATATTTTGTTGTTTTCCAGTTCAGCTTTTTATTTATCTTTTGAAATGTACTTTTTTGCTTATGTTCAAAAACCTCCATTAGATCCACTATAACATCCTCTGTCCCAACATGTATATGGTTGGAGTGTGATCGAGGAATGAAACAACATTCATGCTTTTCTTCAAAACTAACCTTTTATTATGATTAATCTTTACAGCACCATTTCCAAAGCTTTCATATCCTGCATCTAGTAGGATGCCCATATTGCATGCACTATTCCAATTTCACCTAAGCAATTACTCTACAAGCTCAGCGTCACTTCTTTGCCATTGTATTGCACAGTCCTATGTATAACCAGCAATCCCATTCAGCCTTTATATGGCCTTTCTATTTGTATTCCCACTTCTGAAATCAATATATCAGTACCCTTTGATATTTCTCTTTCTCCAATTTATTGTAATTTTAGTTTCTACTTTTTTCACTGCAGATTTCTTTCAAAATCTATGGGCTCATATTTCTCTGCAATGATCTATCAACCTATCTCTGAACTTCTGCACTTTTACCTTATAATTTGCTGTACTCCTTCATTTGGTATTAACAAATGCCAATATAATTCATCCCAAATCAATATCAAATTGATAGAGAGGGTGGGATAAAAAGAGGGAAGGAATCACTTAATTACTATGTACCTTATGAATGAAGCATTAACACTCTTTCTCTCATCACAGGTACTACCTGGTTCACTGAGTATTCATAGCACTTTCTGTTTTTACTATCTTATCCTCTCGGTTGGACAATAGTGAACTTATTTAGGTTACAAAAGCAGTACCTACAGATTAAATGCTTTTTGGAAATAATCACTTACATATAATAGGCTTACCCAGCTGCTCTGAGGGCACACCTGCCCAAGGTACTTTTTGCTTAGTGAGGGGACTGCAAGAATGTGATCTCTGGGAGTCATTCCATTTGAAATTTCGTTTGTATTCACTTAAACCCTAAGAAGTAAGGTAAACAAAATAAGTTGGATTCAATTTCAATTACTGAAAAATAAAATATTTTCCTTCAAGAAACATATAACTATCCAATTCTTAATATATTCCAAAAACAGACTTTATAAGGATACACCTTCTTGGTTGACTGTAAGATTATTATAGGAGATGCCAGGAAAAAAAATGTTTTATTTCTTCCATATCTGCATATCCCAAACTACATCAACCTTAATGAATTACTTTTGAAATGTAGTCAATCTTGTAATGTAAGCTAACATCACAATTAATTTGCACACTGCAACTTAACTATTGGTTAGACTCTATTTGGTGGTGTTGGTCAAGCTGTGTAAGTTGGTCTAGACAGAATATTTATGGTTGCCAATACTGCTTGCATTCCTGAAGGAGCGATCACAGAAAACTTGCCAGAATTTTCAAACATTATTGCATTTTTTCATAAACGTTTTGTCCCTCAAAGGGGCACCTTTACTCCTTTTTCAGACTGTGTGTAGTAACTGGTGTGCCAAAATTAGGAGGAAAAAAAAGGATATCTTTTTTTCCTAAGGTCACCACAAAGTGTTCTGTATATCTGTAAAAGATGCACTCTGATGCCGTCATAAAATATATCCTGCAGTTTCCCTATCATCCAAGGACTGTGCTCTCTGATCCCAAGAGATGAAAAACAGGCCACTTCATTACAATTGTTACTGTTTGCTTGATAGCTGCCATATTCACACATGTACTAAAGCAGTGCACCAAACATTGTCCACTGCACATGCCCGTCAAAACTCAGTCTCCTCTCAAATGGTACGTTAATGCTGTTTACCAACCCTCTGTTTTTTCCAAGGCTGCTTGCAGAAATACCCAGGCGAAGAATCCTTTACTCCAGAAGACGCCCCGAAAGTCCTAGGGAGAATACCCTTTCTGTTTGAATTGCGCTGAGGGAACTTTTACATCCACAGTAGGTAGGAGTGGGATGTCTTCAGCTTGACGTGTGCAAAGGGCAAGAAATCGGACAATACAGCCTCTTTTCGCACTACACTGGAGTATGAGATGATTTATTTAAATCCTTAAATCTGGCCAGCCATCCTTCAGATTCAAGCACTACAGTGATTAATCTACCACCAAATTGTAAATCATGCTCATCACAATGATTTTGTTTTAAAATTACAATTTCCATTTAAATCAATAGTGCAATTATCCCCTGATCCATTCAGAATCATGGTTCCAGTTTAGATAGTAATAAGGATAAATCTGAAGACGCCTCCACATTCTGTCTAATATAACTGGCTTAACTACTTCATTTGATGGAATAGAAATTAAACAATTTATAGGCAAAATATTCAGATGTAACCTTTTGCCAACCGCCTTTGAAAAATTAATCCAACTCAACATCAAATAGTGCGCAATTACAGCCAGATGGTATGTTTATTTATAGGTGCTGCAGCAAAAATGCATTTAGCTTTGAATCCTTGCTGGATTTTTTTTAACTAATCCTAAACAGTTTTAATCACATTCATCTCCTTATGGGCAAGGCAATGGCCTAGTGGTATTATTGCTGGACTGTTAATCCAGAGACCCAGATAACATTCTGGGGACCTGGGTTTGAATCCTGCCACAGCAGATGGTAATAAAATATCTGGAATTAAGAATCTAATGATGACAGTCAATCCACTGTCGATTGTCAGGTAAAACCCGCCTGGTTAACTAATGCCCTTTAGGGGAGTAAACAGCCATCCTTACCTGGTCTGGCCTCCATTTGACTCCAGACCCACAGCAATATGTTTGATTCTGGACTACTGTCTGGGCAATTAGGGATGGACAGTGACATTCTCATCCCGTTAATGAACTTAAAAAAAAATTTCCTGAAGGATGGCTGTTGCGAGATTATAGAACTGTTTTTAATTTGTTTTAAAAAGGCAGCTGGAACTGGATTTTTATTTGGTCACATCTATTCTGTAATCACTTCCACAAACATTGAATTTTCACTATCACCTGTTTAAATAACTGGGCCTGGATGAAAAGAAAATATTTAAAGGTCAGAACGAGGGGTGCGTGATGGGGTGAGGGAGCGTGAGGATGAATCAGAGGTTGAGTGATGGGGATGGGGATGGGGATGGGGATGAGGGAGTTGAGTAAAGGAGATGGGGGATGAGTAAAGGAGATGAGGGATGGGGAGGATATTGAGGATTATGACTGGGGGGCACTTGAGTAACAGAGGAGGGACGGTGACAGAGGAAGAAAGACAGGAGAAGAAGTGAGCGAAAAGATGAGTGAGGAAGAGGGTAACTGAGGAATCCGCAGGCAAAGCAGGGCCTTGGTTTTGGCAGAACTGCATGTTATTAAAATCTGATTGTTTTACATTAAAGATCAGAGAGAGACATCTCACCTTAAAGTGCAGGGGCATGTTCCCCGGTCCTCTGACAGCCCAGTTACTCAGAGCCTTGTGCCCCACTCCCTCACTGAGATCCCCAAGTCCCTTGGTATACCCCCCTCACTGAGATCTTCAATACCCCGTGCTCTACCCCAGTATACCCCCACACTGGGATCCTAGGTGTCTTGTCCCCAGTATCCCTAGTAACCCCCCAATGCCCCCGCCCAGTATCCCTTCACTGTCCCCAGTAACCCCCCACTGTCCTCGGTATCCCCCCGCTGACC